GGGTCTTTGTGGGCATCATGTCCATGAACGTGAGGTCCAATAGGATACAGGCATACGGTCCTGAGAACTACAGTCCAGTCCTGTACTCATTTCTGCTGTGCTTTCTCAGTATCCTTCGTATCACCCAATGGATAGCGGGTAGGGGAGGCCAATAGCCTGAGGGAGGCTGCTGTCTGTGCTTCAAAAGCTCTTGGTACAGCAGTCGCCCCTAATCTATGGTTTTAGTTACCTGCAGTCAACCTCAGATCATATATTAAATTGAAAAGTTTCAGAAATAACCCTGAAGTTTTAAATTGTGCCCTAAAATACGGCAAATTTTTGTACCATCCCACCCTGTCCTGCCCCAGGAATGAATTATCCCTTTGTCCAGGGTATCTGCACTGGATACACAACCTACCCATCGCTTAACAGATGACTTGATCATACTGACTGTCATGTACTGTGGTGCTCGTGTCCAAGTAGCCTTTACTTTAAGAATGGCCCCAAAGTATAAGAACAGGAAGCAAGAGAAGGACTGGGTAGGTTAATTCTGATACTAGATGGGAACAGTGCCAGGAATCCAGGACAACAGTGTATGTAGGGCTCTGCACCGCCCTCGACACAGTAGGGAGGTGTTGGGGTGTGTTGCTCATAGGTGGGGGTGGGGATACTGTACAAGAAGCTCTGTTGTGTCCCGCTGTCATGTGCTATGATTATAAAGGCACCTATGGTTCTCTGAGACAGCTGGTCTTACAGCTGGTCTTCACTCAGCTCTCATGAACAGGCATCTCACTACAGAAATGTTTGGCAAATCTTTGAAGGACAGGCTGAACAATCCTGCCCCTTCCTCTGATATCAGCTGAGCCACCCAGTCAATCACTATGATCCTCCAAAGACCTCCTGAGGTTACAAAATGAAACCGCCATAAAAATGATGGCCATCAGTCATGAGGTGGCCAAGGGGCCTCACCAGGGGTTGGGCTTATTCTGATCTTGGATTCCCAGCCTTTAAGACTAGGTGCAAAATAAAAGTCCTTTCTTTATAAAGAACCCAGCCTCAGGTTTTTGTTATAGCAACTGAAAACGGACAGGGCACAATACACTTCTCATATCTAAGCATACTTGTTAAAAAAAAAAAGTAGGTAGCAGGCAATACCCTTCATGCCTACATTCTGTATTAGCCACCACCACAGGTTCAACCTTGGTTTAACAATATGTAGTCCACACTCAGACAAGCAGCAAAGTCTCAGCTGCCTGTGGGTGCTCCTAAGAGTGGAGGTTGTAGCACCCAGATTCCCATCCCCGCTTGCCTCTGCTAAGCCCTCTCAGAATTGTTATGCACATCTTTGTGGGACCCTGCTTCCACGCAGAGGAAGAGAAAAAACTGCACGAATCTTCAAACAGCTCTAAACTGGATTCTACACCTGGACACCCAACTCTAGATGCCCCTGCCTTTTCTATGGGGGCTATCTCTGTTCTCAGCACCCACCCTCTTACCCTACCTTACCAGAGCCACCCTCCTCAGACAAGGACATGGCCCCGAAGTGCTCCATCCCTGGGTGGCCCTAGGCAGCCAGTGTGGCCTAGGGCAAGCTCGGGGGTACACACTCTGAGGTGTCAGCCTCTGGAGTCAGGAAAGGCCAGCCCAAGCTCACCAGGACTGGCTGAGAGCTCAGCCTTGTGGCTCCTCCCTACTCTGTGAGTTTCCCCTGTGAGCACATCCTCACAAGCTTCCTTCCAGGAATCCTTGTCTAAGACCCACTCATGATAAGGGTGACCACCACTTGTCACCTCTTGACCTGCTTTGATAAGGGCCCACAACGCTAGATATAGTATAACAGCAGGACAGTGGTGAGGTTGGACACGGGTGGGCCCACAGCCAAGCTCTCGGTGGCTCTTTCAGAGGGCTCTGGCTCTCATGGTCCCCTTAGTGTGTTCACATACATGTGAATACCATGGGCTGTTGCTGTGATGGGATTCTGCAGTTGTCTTCATAATTACATCACTTTAAGCAAGAGAGACTGCCTAAGTGGGACTCACTGCATCAGGTAAGCCTTCTAGGATGAGGTTTACCAACAGATCCTTCTCCACTGGCCTGGAGGCCAGCTGCCATGCTTACAGAGGCCACCTGGTTGGGACCTTGAGAGGCTGAGGGAAGCTTCAGCCAATAGTCAGACAGGAACTACAACCCCAGTCCTGCAATACAGGAACAAAACAGCAAAAGCCCTCTGAAACCCTGAGCAGGGAATCTAGCCTAGCTATACCATCCGGACCTATGGACACCGTGAGGTGGTAAATAGTATTATCTTAAGCATTACGCTGGGGGCATTTTGTGGCCAGCCTCCTTCCACCAAAATAATACAACTGGGTTAAATGGGTTGTTTTTTGTTTTTTGTTTTTGGTACCGGGGATTGAACTCGGGTCCTTGTGCTTGCAAGGCAGGCCACAAAACTGCTGAGCTAAATCCCCGGCCCGGGTTAAATGGGTTTTGAGAGATGTGGACCCTGGTCAGAGCTACACACGTTTGTGTGTGGTGGGGCGGATATGTCCTCCTTATTGCTGATCATTGAATACATTCATCAGGTTCTCACAAGAGCATGGTGCCAGGAGCATGCAAGAAGACAGTCCCTGGAGAAGAGAAGAAAAACCCAGGATGACACAAGTGGGCAGGCACTGCTGGGCATGGACTCAGCACAGTTCTGCTGTGGCCAGGAAACCCCCAGGGATGGGCTGGGCACAGGCATGTGGGTGCACTCTCACCACTTCGAATTATACAAATGCAGCAGTAAGTTCAGAGGACTCAGGGGGACATTGACGGGCTCAGAAAATACTGGGGCTTTATTTCGGTTAGCTGTAATAGTCAATGCTAGTGAGGTAATGAGAATTCTTTACATACCTTGAGAGATTCTTTCTCTTTTTCTTGAATCCTAAGGTTTACAGAAAATAAAGTACATGGCCATGTGCATATTTTGCTCCATTTTAAAAGAAAAATTGATCTAATTCCTATCCAACTTTAATTTCAGTTGCAATGGAATAAACAGATTGTCATGTTTATGCTGACATAGTGAAGATGTATTTGCTTTGTTTTTTATTTATTTATTTTTTGTATGGGGGATTGAACTGAGGACCTTGCCCATGTGAAGCAGGCGCCAGAACCACTGAGCTAAATCCCCAGCCTCAGCTTTTTTTTAGAAGACACATTTTTCTTTTTGGAATTGGAATTATATACAAAACTAATGATTGTCCCACCTGTTCAATAATGTTTCTGTTTCTCTGTATTTCTGGGTTAGGAGAAGGGATGTAGAGGAAGAAGAGTCCACAGAGATACAGTCAAAGGAATTTCTGTGAAATCAAGTAAAAGGTCCACAAATTAGAATCCCCTGCTCCTAAACAATGTATTAATTCATGGGGCATTTAAAGATGTAATGGTTCATATCTAAAAGACAGAAGTTGGTTGTTCAGAATAAGAAGATTATGAGCTTGTCAATATTTATTTCTGTATTGGCAGCACATACTGAAAAGGCTTGTTAAATGGTAGGTTTCACCTGGTACACTGACAGCCTAGGGCCTGTGGAGCCATGGGAAGCTTACACAGGAAGGGAACGGGCATCAGTGTCACTGAGGGAAGGCAGCCGGGATGGCATCCTTATGGCAGGAATTCCTCACTCGTGTTGAGGGGTCAGAGAAAGGAGAGGCACAGCGGGCAGAACACTGCAGCAGATGACAATGTCTCCTCCCAGGCTGACAAAACATGGAACAGTGACACCCTGAAGCTTTCTTCTCAGGTGGCCTTTTCTTTGAATATCACATTTGGTGGAAGCAGGCCTCCTGTCTTCACTACACAAAGCTATTGACAACACACACTTTGTCTACTGTTATCATTAATTCTCTAGGATCTGTCCTGGTGTCAAGGCTGAAGTGGCCAGTCACTAACTCTGGCTAAGCTGGGAGGTATGACTTGGCCACTGGTCACAAGACAGCCAATCTCCAGAACCACCTGCTGTCGGGAGCCAGTCTACATAATTTTGGGAAAAAAACATTTCACAAATTAGTCCTTATTATTTCACAGATAGAGTCAATGTTCTCCTAAAATTTTGTTCCAATTGAATACTTTTAAAAGTGAGGATTACTAGGCCAGGCGTGGTGGTGCACGCCTGTAATCCCAGCACTCGGGAGGCTGAGGCAGGAGGATCGCTGTGAGTTCGAGACCAGCCTGGGCTACATAGTGAGTTCCAGGTCAGTCTCAACTACATAGTGAGATCCTGTCTCGTAAAAAAAAAAAAAAAGTGAGGATTACTAGGCGAGGCGTGGTGGTGCACGCCTGCAATCCCAGCACTCGGGAGGCTGAGGCAGGAGGATCGCTGTGAGTTCGAGACCAGCCTGGGCTACATAGTGAGTTCCAGGTCAGTCTCAACTACATAGTGAGATCCTGTCTCGTAAAAAAAAAAAAAAAGTGAGGATTACTAGGCGAGGCGTGGTGGTGCACGCCTGCAATCCCAGCACTCGGGAGGCTGAGGCAGGAGGATCGCTGTGAGTTCGAGACCAGCCTGGGCTACATAGTGAGTTCCAGGTCAGTCTCAACTACATAGTGAGATCCTGTCTCGTAAAAAAAAAAAAAAAGTGAGGATTACTAGGCGAGGCGTGGTGGTGCACGCCTGCAATCCCAGCACTCGGGAGGCTGAGGCAGGAGGATCGCTGTGAGTTCGAGACCAGCCTGGGCTACATAGTGAGTTCCAGGTCAGTCTCAACTACATAGTGAGATCCTGTCTCGTAAAAAAAAAAAAAAAGTGAGGATTACTAGGCGAGGCGTGGTGGTGCACGCCTGCAATCCCAGCACTCGGGAGGCTGAGGCAGGAGGATCGCTGTGAGTTCGAGACCAGCCTGGGCTACATAGTGAGTTCCAGGTCAGTCTCAACTACATAGTGAGATCCTGTCTCGTAAAAAAAAAAAAAAAAGTGAGGATTACTGAAAACTGGCAACTATTTCCTCGAAAAAAGAAATGGGAAAAACATGCTCTTGACATTATTTTCAACTCAGAGAAGAAATTCAGTTAAAATCAAACTACTTTAATCTGAAGTTTTTAACACCCATGAGGCATCCTTAAAGCAAAGATTTTCAGACACAAGGACATTTAACTTGATTAAAAATAACAACTTTAAACTACTGTTATCGTTTATGTCCAGACATTCCTCCAAACTCTTGTGTGTTCATAGATGAGACTTTCGAAGGTGGTTGCATTACGGAGGCTTACAACTGATTTGCTGTTAGGAGGTCGGGTGTGGTGGAAAGAACTGAGTAACTGAGGGCAGGACCTGGAAGAGTTTCTCTCTCTTCCTGTTCCTCCCTTTCCTCTTTCGTTTCCTGGCTGCCATGAGGGGAGCAGCTTCTCCTCTGCCAAACACTCTGCCATGCTGTTTCTTTGTGAGTCAGCCAACTGACTGGACTGACACTTGAGCTAAAATAAACATCGCCTTCTTTAAAGTTCAGGTGTTGTATATTTTGCAGGAAGTGCCTAAAACAACTATACAGTTTAAAACAATGTCCCTTTTCAGTTTTTTAGAGGAATTAGAAAAACAACCAAGTTTTATGTAGTAATTCAAGACATGTAATTTCAAATAAGTAAAATTTTCAATTTTACCCCAACTTCTCATTTAAAGTCTCAGACGTTAAGACAGGAATAAATCATATGGCAGAAATGTCTTCAAAGTCTCCAGGATTTGAGTCAAAAAGAAAATATTAAGAATTTAATCTTCTTTGTATATAAGAATGAACTCTTAGCCAACTTTGTCATTCACGTTTTCTTAAAAATATTAATTCTTCTCAGGCATACTGGTTTTATTCACTGTTTTTTTTCAGGAAAGACATGTGTAATCCAATAATTAAAGAAAGCGGAGATTACTCTGGCATGGTCTGGAAAGCAAAAACAAAAAGAAAATATAGACCAAAAAAAAAAGTCAGAAAGTATTATTTTGTAGATATTAGTCTTTGGGCTCAAAAGTAAACCCCGAAACATGAGCTAAGATAAAATACAGTAAATGTTCAAATTTCAAAACATTTATCACAGTAAAAGACATGTATGTTGTCATTAATCCTCCTCAAAATACTTCCCTTACTTTCAAATGCTTTTAGGCTACTGTTCTTGCCACTTTCTGAAGCAGCTCTGTATGTACTCTTTTGCGAGTATCTTTAGCTGCATTGTCCTGGCTGTCCTGATGTCCTGAATTGATTCAAAGTGTTCGCCTTCACTTTTCACAGTCATTTTGACTTTGGGGAAGAGCCAGAAGTTGCATGGTGCCAGATCTGCTGAGTAGGTGGATGAGGACACACTGGCATGTTTTCATGAGCCTGTTTTTCTGTTGCAAGGCATGAGGGAGCAGCACTGCTTATTTTTTATCACATTGCAGAAGAGGATTCCAGAACTGCTTCAGAGCCTGGCAAGAATGATGGGATAAATGTGTGTGAAGCAAAGGAGACGATTTTGAGGGAGATTAATGGCAATGTATCTGGTTTTTTTTAAACACACACCGTAGTTTTTGATTAGCTCCTTATAATCTAGTGCAATGCAACCTTGGTATAAAAATGCTGCTGCTAGTCACACAACACAATTTGTGAATCATCCATCATGTTACAAATATGACAAATTGGTAGGGAAATTCAGAATATTTGAAGTTTACCTGGGCTCTCAAGTTCTACTGGGCCTGAACATTATACTATCACAGTACTATAACCTACAATACTGTGGATTTAAAACATGCTCTGAAAGAAAGCCATATACATATTAAAATGAGAAGGAAATACAATTTCACGTCAATGGCAAATTGGAAGATGGTTAGAATCTAAGTGAGATATGATGGGTTACACAGCATTCAGCTTTCATGAAGGCCAGCACTCCATCAGGACAGCAAGAGCGAGAGTATTTCTGACATCACCACCCCAATCCTTCCCTGGCCTCCTGGAGAACAGTAGCCATACGTCAGGTTCTCCTTCAACGTCAGCTTTACGACCAGGAAGCCTCTAGGATCTAGTTCACAAAGGATCTGCTACTTCTACAGTCATGAGTCATGGAAAGTACACACCAAGCCTGTGGTAAGGGGCAGAGAGAAAGACACCTCCTGGTCCAGTCAGATGTCAGGCCTGTTCTGATGCAAATGCTTCACTTCCATACCAGGTCAGATCTACAGATGGGTACTGGGAGGAGAGGGGTCTGACCTTTCACCCACTCCACAGAAACCACTCCATGATCCTCCCAAGGCAAGTACCCTTCTGCCCAGGGCAGGTGCCTGACGTCTGCAAGCCTCCTCTCCTCAAGGTCAGAATGATTCCTAAAGCACCTCTCAGTGCCTGCACGGGAGAGCAACACAGTGAGTGGCAACTCTGGCCTACAACACACTCATTGGTGGCGCAAGGCAACGTGGGAATGTTAGATCTATCCTGCTCCTGAGCACCAGCGTGGTCCCAGCACTGTGAAAACCCACACAAGGACCTTGTGAAAGATGTCTACATCCTACTCAAATGAAAGGGTCTATGATTTAGGGGAAAAAAAATTCCTGGGCCAGTGAAGAGAAAATGAGCCATGACAAAAAGAAAACAATTTGTACCTAATTTTAAATGCTATCCCTATACAGATGAGAGATAAAGCTACCAGTTAATTTCATAAAGTTCCAAAGAGTCATGTAGGCCAAATATGCATTAGACAAATCCAGACTCTGAACACAAAGCTTCATCATTTACTAGATTTTATTTGACAAAATAGCTCGATACAGAAAAACTTTAAGTGCATATCCTACTGCATGCTCAAAGGGAACTTACTTTATATACAACAGGTTTGTATGATGTAAGTTTCTGTCTGCACCCCCCACCCCCCCACCCGGGTCTTGAAACCTGTTAAGGGCAGTGAGCCTGCCACCGAAGCCTGACAAGAGCTTCTTTTTTTGGGGGGAGTACCTGGAATCAAACTCCTGACCTTGCATTTGCAAGGAAGAGCTTCTTGCTTCTCTAAATAAAAGCCCACTGTAGTGGACTAATGGTCAACGTGTAACACCCAGCTGAACTTAATCAGCATGGTTCGGGCATGGAGGATCCACCTGAAGATTGTTACCAATAGCCATAAAAAGAGAACTGGGGCCGGGTGTGGTGGTGCACACCTGTAATCCCAGTACTCGGGAGGCTGAGGCAGGAGGATCACTGTGAGTTTGAGACCAGCATGAGCTACAGAGTGAGTTCCAGGTCAGTCTCAACTACATAGTGAAACCCTGTCTCAAGCCCCCCGCAGAAAAAAATGGGAACTGGGGAGGAAGATCTTTCACTGATTATAATTGGGCTGTTTCTTGACTTGGTTTGCATCAGAATGTGAGTGTTGGCCCTTCACTGCACCGTGAAGTTTGTGGACAGATGCAGGAGCTCCTCACAGCTAGCTTCAGGTCCCTCTCATTCATTTACTTAAGTGAAACTTGCGTAGTGCTTCCTGCAAGACACGGCATGCTCTGCCTGCAGCATGGGCAGGTTTCTGTATGTCCCCACACATGGTACTGCATGACAAGCATGCAGGTGGCCCTAGCATTCTACAACTTGCATGGAGTGGGAACCCAACAAATACCGGTGAAGTATTCATAAGAAAAGTCTTTATGATAATTTACTCTTTCAATTCTCAGGGTTCAACTGCGGAAAACAGTGTGGAGATTCCTAAAAAAACTAAAAGTGGAGGTTCCATTTGACCCAGCTAGTCCCCTTCTTGGTATCTTCCTGAAAGAATTAAAAGCATCATACCATAGCGATATTTGCACACCCATGTTCATAGCAAGAGTCTGGAATGGCTAAATCTTGGAAAAAGCCCAAATGCCCATCAACCAATGAGTGGATAAAGATGCGATTTTTTTTTTTTAATATACAATGGAGCACTACTTTGCCATAAAGAAGGATGAGCTTGAGACATTTCTAGCTAAACGGATGCACCTTCAGACTATATTCTTAAGTAAAATAAACTAGACACGTTTAATAGCACATTGTTTCTCTGGTGTAAGAAACAAAGTAGAAATAAGGAACAAAATGTATAAAATAGAGATTGGGAAATGGGAAAAAATATTCAAATGAGAAGGGGAACAAGGAAAGAAGGGAGAAGAAAAAAAATAGAAGGAAAAAAAATGGAAACAAAGCTTTTATAAGTAAGGAGAGGATGAGGGATTAAAGGGGGAGACAGGAAAAAAAGAAGCAAGATGGATCCCGTATAGCTACAAAGTCCGTATGATGAATGTTATCATTACGTGTATCTGAAGTGTTTTGCCTAAGACACCAAAATCTTTGGAGGGTAAAAAAAAATTTACCTTACTAATCTATCAAAGGGGAATAAAGGGGAAAGAAATAAGTTCTTCCACTACTGTTTAAATTTGGAAAAATAGGCTGTCAGAATTGATAGCTCACAAGTTGGAAAATGTAGGTGGCCCACAGAGCAGCAAGAAGCAAGTGTCATGAGGAATTCTGTATGAAGCAGAGGCACAGAAACCCATGATTTGTGGGATTCGACTCTCCTCGGCACACGAGCATTGCTGTATTTCCCAAGCCTCTGCTGTTCGGTGGGTTTCTAGGGTTGTAAGCATGATCAGTGCATGTTCAGGACTCACCGAGCGGCATCTCGCAGTGCTCCGGCAGCAGCTCCAGGGCACGCTGCAGTCTCGCCGTGTCATGCAGAAGCAGCAGCGTCTTCATGTGGTCCAGAATGAGCACATCTGAGGGAGCCATGCGGTGAGACTCCAGACAGTGGAGCAGCTCTTCGGCAGTTTCCACTCGGACAGCTGAATCCATGTCTTCGGAGACACCTGAAAGAAGTCAGCATCACTTAGAAATACAGCTTTGGTTTGGTTTTTATAAGCTAAAGATAAGACTTTCATCTCCTAGAGAAGTCTCAGACATTCATTCCACTTAGAATAAGACAGCTGGGATATAAAACTTTGCTCCCAGGACAGAGAGAATCAGAAACTTCTGATAAGCAAACAAGATATCAGGATGCCACTGTTTAAACAATGGAAACTCAGTGTCTGTCTGTAAGTCTGTCTTTTAAAACATCTTCCAAGTATGACATGTGACTCTGAGTCATGGGCAGCAGCAGGATAAACCTGACAATGAAACAAAACTCTCCATATTCTTGACTCCTGGCTTCTCCTATCTCTACCGAAGGTCTAGGTACAGTGCTGGCCTTGTAAGGACAAGTATTATTCTTTGGCTGCTTTTAAGATGTTATCACTGGTTTTTCCACAGCTTGACTATAGTATGCTTGGTGTGGTATTGTTTGTATTAACTTCAGTCCTCAGGACTTTTGTATCCCAAGGCTGTTTCCTCTATCATTTTGAGCCCCCAAGCCCTACCATCTCTGGAAACGGCCCCTGCTCAGTGCCTTCCTGGACATAGGACTCCAGTCCCATGGGTCCCAGACCGGCTCACTGCACCTGCTCAGGCTCTTTCTGCACTTCCACCCTTCCTCCTGCGGCTTTTTCTCTGATCTGTCTTTACAGCTGCTAATTTTCTTTTATGGTGAATCGAATGTGCTGCTCAAGCTCATCTTCTGAGTTTTGAATTTCAGTTACTACAATTCACAGGTCTAGAAATTCCATTTGATTGTCTTAATAGGTTCCCATCTTTCATCTTTCTTCCTTAGACATCTAATCACAGTTACTTTAAAGATGCTGTCCGATAGCATCAGTATCTTCTGCTTCTGCTTCTGCCCATTCTTCTGTTGGTCTCCTGGCATAGTTCACGTTCTTGGCACTCTTTACTTTGCTGGGCAGACAGAGTGGGTGGGTGGACACCACCCCTGCAGGTCCTGTGCGGACAGAGATGGGCTGAGTGTCTGGATGAGGATAAGGACCTCTCTCTGCCTTGCCAGCTCTGAGGACACAGTCTGCAGGTGAAGCCTTTTCTGCTCAGCTCTTCTAGACCTCTCCGTCCTCTGTGCCCTCAGAGGCCTTTATCAGCCCTCAGCAAGACTCTGAGGGGATCCAGCAGAGTTTTATTCTCTAGCCTCTTCTCTCCCCTCAATGCTGTTTGGCAAACGCCCTGCTGGGTGTTCTGCCTCTGAGGGCTCCACTGGGTCCCTGCCCCAGACCTTTACTCAACGCTCATGCTAGAAGTGGCAAGCACCTGAGGGAAAGATACACAATAACATTGGCTCAAGGTTCTTCTAGAGTTTTCACCTCTGTAAAACTGATTTCTTCAGTGGGTCTTAGAGCCCTTCAACAGATTTCTTAATTTGGCTTTTTCAGTTATTCTCAGCATGTCTGCTGGCCTGCCACAGGCTCCTCTTTTATAAGCAGAATGGGGCCTTGTTTCTCTTTGCAGTGTTAGATGTATCCTATTTGTGTCATTTGTGTATTTGTTAGGCGTGTTTCAAATATGAGAATGAAACCATTGAGAAATATGCTAAAGAAGAAAGGGTGAATGTCACCTGCCACCATTGCAGTGGTTAAAACTGACCTGCAGTGGTGTTTAAACTGGTCGCTTACTCCCCACGTTATAAGAGAGCTGATACTTCCTAGCGTTATTCACAAGAGCTCTGTCAAGTGTCTCGCTGACATGTGGGTATGCCAGACACCCAAGTAATGTTCTCCAAATGGGAAGAGAGCTGGTTTGGAGGGCCTGGTTCTGCAGTTCCTGCCAGCTTCCTGTGAGTACTGGCTGCTTTCGTCAGGTGACTGCAAACACTGCCACCCATGAAAATACATCTATTTTTATTTGGATCATATATGGATACAAATATTTATTCAAAACTGCTCACCGAATACTTAAATCAGTAAGTTACATATGGAGGAGTAAAATGCATCCTAAGGAGAGAGCTAGGCTGTACTTACTTATCTACTGGCTTATAAGAATGAACATAAGTTCAAAACCTCTAAAAGGGAATCGACTCTATTCAGAAATATACCCTAGAACACCAGCACATTCCAAAATATGGTTTTAGAGGAATAAAGAACACTAGCCCAGCAGGCCCAGTGGTGCATGCCTATAACCCTGGCTAGTCAGGAGGCTGAGGCAGGAGGATTACAGGTTTGAGGCCAGACTGGGGAACTTCATGAGATCTCAACTCAAAATAAGACAAATGGCTGAGGATGTAGCTTAGTGGCAGAGGGCTCGCCTGGAGTGCATGCGACATTGAGCTCAGTCCACAGTAAATAAAAAAATAAAGAACCTGAGCCCAACCCACATAAGCCAAGGAAACAGCAAAAACTCTTCGGTGGAAATAATGTAAATATTCTGATTATTTCCTTTGACTATCTTATGTGCTTTTATTGTAAATATTTAAGTGTTTTATTACACTTGGTTATCTTTCCAAATATTAAGCGGATACCATTACACAAAGGAAAACAGAAGAAAACCTACCATCATAGAAATACATTTCTCGCATTGATTTCAGAAAGCTCAGGATCCCGTCGGCCTTCCTGTTGGCGATCTCCTTGTCTTCCTGAGAGGGGGCTGCGTCGTGCTCCATGATGGCATAGCCTGCGGCCTCCTCCACGGCGTCTGGGGTCCCATCTCCTACAGCCCTGGGGAAGTCTTCCTGCTCACTGCTGCTCTCCTCAGGTTGGTACGTAAAGCTGGCACTGAAGGCCTTGGTCACTAAGCCAGCAGCTTTCTTCCTTTTAATTTGCTGTTTCTTTTTCAGCTTCCTTTTCCTATTTTTGCTCATTGTAGGGCCATCTGTGTGCTGTGACTGCAATTTTTCTTGTAAAAGGCTCTGCTGTTCCTCTAATTCTGCTTGTTCTATATGAACATTATTGGAATTTTTTAATTTTTTCTTCAGTTTACGCTTTCTAATTCTTTTCTTTGGTTGATCATGATCTGTTCAAATATTAAAATGCAACAATTTTCAGTACAATGGGACCATAACAAACATACTAGGATAAATAAATTTTCCACAGGACTTGATAGCTGTATAGAAAAGGAATCTAAACTATTCACATCATTGACTTTCACTTTACTTCACAGTAGTTACAGCACCACGGCCCTGTGACTAACCATAATATAAATTAACAGCCTATTTTGTTCCCCTCAAAAGGTGTGTGTGTACAGAGATGTTACAATTATGACATCTAGTGTATTTTTAAGGATATAAGAGTAGTTGTGTAAACTTTCATTCCTATGGCCTTGGGGGGGGTGAGCCCATGAATTCTTACATTGTTTACATTCATTTTATTATCTTTTAGGAGTTGCTTGTGTGTAAAGATAAAGTATAAACAAGGACTTGCCCATTTGAAATGAAGATTGAATCTGGGCTCCGGATTAGGAAAGTTAGAACATATGTGACAAAGGCCATTGGCGTGCTTGTAAATGGTTAACACCAGCTAACTGGGTAGAAAAGTCCTGACTTACGCCTCTTGCCAATTTTCCTGGTGTAAACACTCCCAGGACAGCTAGCTGACTTCAAATCGCCACCATCTCTCTCTGACTGGGGGGAGATCTCACGGCTGAGCCTCCTGTGCGGAGGGAGTCACACAGCACAGGACAGGTGGACCAGGAAGAAAGCAGGGATGAGGCACAATGGGTTAGCCAGGAGTGCTGGTCCAGGAGGGAAATGGCCAGTGGATCAGTCCTACCACATGATAAGGAAGGTCTCCAATGAGAAAAAGGCATTGGGCATGGCTGACAGAAGGCACCACCAGCTCTTGAAGGTACATGTGGACACTGAGAAAGAAATGACGTGAAATCCTGCACTGCACACAGCCAGGTCTGCACACCCTTCAAGGTCACCAAGCACAGAGGCCACGTCCACACCTGGTCCTTCTGTCACCACGGCTCACACCTCCCCGTCTCTGCCTGAGCAGATCTATCTACATCTGCAGAACTGGCTGCCACACCTCACAGTGCTTGATCACCAGACAATTCTCATTTTTAGGAAAATCTTAAATTTTCCTCAGTTGTACAAGACCGCATAACAGATTCTTATGAGAAACCAAGATTAAGTAATGGATATGAAATTTGTGAAGCACTCTATAAAGACAGATGTTATTATACTGAATAAAAAACCGCTTTCCCTATCACTTCTACTCAAGGGCTTGACTCTCCTTGTGAAATCAGAATGTGCCTAATCTGTCTTCCATGTTTAGCTTTACAAAGCAGCTTTCGCATCCCACCTCCACAGCACTGTCCACGGAGTGATGAGACCACAGCCATGGAGCCCTGGGTTCCTTGCTTGCCTGCACACTCTGCTGTCTAGGCATGCAGCCCAACTCCCAGTGAGTGTGAAAACACACAGAATGCTCTCTGCTCTAACCATCCTCAGGTCTCACCTCTCTTATATGACATAAGGCCCTGAAACTCCCTTCCAGCTTTGTGCCACTGTCAGATTAGATACTGTGCTGTGAGAATGGTGAACAATTCTACTGCTATTTTTGAATGAGAGTTCTCAGTTTTCTCCTGATACACTTAGCAACTGTATCTATGAAACCTACTGCTACCTCAAACTTGGCATAAAGCCAAAACTAATCCTCATAAAATCATGACATAAGATTATGGTCTAGCCCATAATTAGTATGTTTTATCACTTTCCTCAATCACTGTTAGATTTTTGAATATTGTAATTTTCCATTTCATTTGTAAGCATGAATCAATAACTGGGACCTGCTAAGCTTGGCTGACAGACCAGTGCTGATTCCAAATCTTTCTGAATAGATGATTCTTCAGCTAGTCTATAAAAATTCATGTTCAAAACATGGCCACTTCTGAAAAAAATAAAATTTATCAAATGGTTCTAAGAAGAAACAGAAAATCTTATTAGTCCTATGCCCACTTAAAAATTGAATAATTATTTCCCAGTTTAAAAAGAGGAAAACATTGTCCTCATTGTTGTCTTTTTAATTTTTTAATGAATAAAAAGGTAGCAAAAAGGCTCTAAAACAATGCATTTGTCTACCTTGTCATAGTATGTGTGGATTTAAAAAGGACAGCATAATATCGATTCAAAACCAGCTTCAGAAGGCCACATCCTAGAACACCCACCATGTGGTTACCCTCTGGTGAGGTAAGCATAGACGTGCTGTTTCTGCTGTGCCTGTCTGATTTCCAAGTTGAGGGCACTGAGGACTCACTGCTTCTAAAATAAAGAAAACATTACTTTTAAGCTTCATGGGATTGTGACATCTCAAAATTTAAGGTCTGCCATTATTATCCTGCTCCGAGTGAAATTTATAGTCTCAAATATATCAGAGGAGAAGAAAGGCTAAAAATCAATGATGGAAGCATTCATCTTAAGAAACCAGAAAACAACAACTTGAGCTCATAGAGTTAGAAGGAAAAATAATGAAGCAAGACAAAAAATAATACAATAGAGAAACGAGCAAGCAAAAATACTTTGTACAAAGAAACAAGATAAACTGCAAGATTGTTCAAGGACAGAAAGAGAAAGGAAAAACTACCAACACCAGTAGCCCAGGACACAGGGAAATGCATGTCCTCAGAAGTTAAAAAGCTACAAAAGGACACTTTCAACTACTCTATGCAAATACATTATAGTCTGGACGAAATGGAGACTTTTAAGAAATTGCAACTTATCATGCAAAAACAAAGCTTAACCTACCTATATACACTATAAAAATTACATCCTAAGGGCTAATAATTGAACCAGGAGAGTGGTGTCACCTCTACAGTCCTTTTCATTTTAAAATCTGAGATGAGGTCTTAGTAAGTTGCTCAGGCTCGCCCTGAACTTGTGATTCTCCTGCTTTAGCTTCCCAAGTAACTGGGATTACAGGTGTGTACTACTGTATCTGGCTTTAAAAGTTAAATCTTTAATTAAAAATAATCCTATAGCTAAGTATTATGGCAAACGCCTGTGAACCTAGCACTCAGGAAGCTGAAATAGGAAGACTGCCACAAGTTCAAGGCCAGCCTGGGCTACATAACAAGACCTCGTCTCAACAAAGCAAAAACAACAAAAAAATCCCACACAAGAGCTTCAGGCCAACTGACCTGTGACTTCCACTAAACCTTTAAGAAAATAAAATGAATATCCATCATATATAAACATTTCCAGACAGTAGAAAAAACGGACCAGTTGTAGCTTGCTCTTCATTCCAAAGATGGAAGAGGACATTCTGAGAGGAAATGCCTCTCATAAACACTGCTACAAAAAAATTCAAAGTATCAAAAAATAGATCCCACTATTTCAAAGTATTTGGCCAGTTTTGATACCAACATATGATAAAATTGCATAACCAGCTGGAAACAGAAAGCAAAACCCTAAGGCTGATGCAGAGTATGCACAGTGGTGAGAACTGAAAACCTCTCCCAGGCTGAGAAAGAACAATATGCCATGGCCACATTGGTCAATTCTGTCCTACAGCTGAGCAACGCCAGATGTGAAAAGGCCGGGTGTGGTGGTGCATGCCTGTCATCCCAGGAGGCCGAGACAGGAGGATCTCAAGTTTGAGCCCATCCTAGGAAAGTCAAGCCACTTAGTTAGATCTTGCCTCCAGGAAGAAGGGCTGGGGATATGGCCCTTGGTTCAATTCTCCCTACCATAAAAACAAAACAAAACACAAGAAGTGAGAGAGATGGTATGAGAGAATCAGCCACAGACAACACTGCTGCACCACAGGAAATCCAAATAACAGGTGGAGGTATGACTCCGTACAATGGTGGCACTTCCACCAGCAGATGGAAACTGCTATTCACACACTGCTCCACAGAGCCCCAAAACTGGACAGTGAGAGGAATACTCCAGTTTGCGCCCCTAAAAGAGTGTGCAAAGCAAGGGCAGATACCCTCAAGGCATGGGACCTGTGTGGAGGGCTTGTCCATTACTCAGAGGACACAAGTCCATGCTTACCAACTGTACTTTAAACTTGTACCTTACAGAGCTGTTTGCAAAAGGTCACATCGGCAAAGCCTGGGTCTCTGCTGTTTCCTGCTGTTACCGGGCACAGGCACAGAGCAGCTAGGCCAGCTGTCTTCTTCGCCTTCAGTGAGCCATGTTACCTCCCACTTGTGGAGGGCCACGTTCAGAAAGCTGCTTCCATACAGGCAGATGTGCGGCTATGGGGCACACTGCGGATGTCCGGGGACTGCTGGTCACCAGGCACAGCGCGTTCTATAGGCTGAGTCATGGCTCGTGTCCATGGCGCCCGCCACAGCCCCAACACGGCCCGCCTGGATGCGGGCACAGTGCCTTCAGCACAGACAGCTGCGGAGAGCTGAAGCTGCTGCAGTGCTCACACTCGGCCGTGGGCACAAATGCACAGGACGGCAGGGCCCTCTGCTGCCCTCACATCGCTGCAGCCCTGTGCTCCACTCGCATACCTCAGCAATCATCACCCTATCACCCCAACGTTGCCATGTCCTCTGTACTCCATGAGCACTTCATGTGGTCTGCTCTGTGTGACTCTAGGACTGTGCTATCTTCCTGCAATGGAGAGTCTCTGGCTGTGGGCAAATTTGTGTGAAGTTTACATATGGCTCAAGGGACAGGGAGCCAAATTCTAGGTTTTACTTTAATGAACTGATATCCAAGTGTGAGAGCGACAGGTGACCAGCGGGAGCTGTGCTAGACAGTGTGGCGGTGGGGTCACGGGTGCTGTTAGTCCTCATGACCCGGAGCCATGAGCCCTGTGCACTCCACCCTCTATTTCCCTACAGAACATCGTCACCTATCCTGCGCAGAAATCAGACAGTGCTCAGCTCTTACCCCACCGTAAGTGGCCTGTGAATAGTCAGTCTTTACTGACTAGAGTCTGGTTGTGCAGATGCTGGACACTTTAGAAACCCAGTCACCTCACAGAACCAAGAGAAACAGCAGGCACGCACTGAGTAGCCCGGAAGTGGACTTGTGTTCTGGACACTGGCAT